ACGGGTCAAACATCCCCACTTCTGTAATATGAAACGCGCTTCATTACACCGTAATTGTAACTTATTATCGTCGATAAAACACGTGTGTTAATTAATTTTCGCCTGATAAAACTTCTTATCGCAATGACAAGATGTGTCTTACGTCAAACACCTAAACCAAATTTAAAAAAGCGATGAATTTTATACAAAAACTTCAAACAATTCTAAAAAGAAAAACCAATACGGAAATATAAATTCAAATCAAACTAACTAAGTTGGGGTTTATTTCGTAAATAATCCCCCAGATTTATAAAATAAATTATTTAATTTAATTTAACAAATCTTTCCAAAAAAAGGAAAAGTTTTTGAATAAATACCTTAGGTATACTTCTAGTCCACTGCGGATACCGGTGGTTGCAAATGGGGCATATTACTGCAGTCCTCCAGAAAGAATAGATTGGAGCAAATTGGAAAGAATTTTCGTAACTCCGAAAGGCGGCGCTCCTAGAAAATGACACAGCTTTGTAAATGGCCTGAATGCTTTTTATAGGACTTTGTAACCTAAAAGCCCTTAAAAATTATTTAAAGTACTTTGGGTGCATAATGCTCTGAAATAACGTTATGAGCCGTTAAACGCATATAAGCACCCGAAATGGCCTTCCACAACCAGAAATTGTGAATAAAAGTGATGAATTCTTTGAAAAAGGATTTTTAAAGCTCTCAAAAGACATCAAGTTTTCCGGAGAGCACACTTCTAGGTCTATTCCAGAACTATTAGGTCCTTTTCGGAGCATAGAGGTTCTACAAAAGCAATAAAAAGTTCACTAATTTGTTCCTATATAAGGTTCAACAAAGGATCTAAAATCAATACATCGAGAACCCCAGTTGGTTTGTAAAAATAATTCTGAAAAGACCCTAACAGTTCTGACGGGTACTGAAAGATTTTGGAATAAAACGTTTAGAAGGTTTTTCCGAGACTCTTTCAGCACTATTAATATAGGCATCGGAAGCTGACTACTTATTATACAGAGAAATAAAGGGATATTTTTACGATGGAACGGATTCTTCGAAATATTGCACAACTTAACCAAAAAGAACAACATTCCTGGTATCAAAATTAATTAAAACTAAACAAAAAAGTACTTTATAAAGGCTCGATCCGGTTCACGATTTTTTATGGGTTGAGCCGTCTATTATTAGGGGATTATTAGTGTTACAAATCCATACTTTTTCGAATTTACACCTTTTTCGTACGTCCGCTCAAATTATTTTATTCAATAAAGCCAACGCGGTAACAAGGTAAATATTGCGAAGAGGAACATTTACCTTACACTTCAACTTAAAAACGTAAAGTTGAAGATAGGCGAAGCCTCAAATCCCGGTATGAAAATGAAACTTAATTAAAAGCCCTTAAAACCGAACGCCAGCATGCAATGGTTTTTATTCTGAATACATCATTAAAAGGGATCTTTTAGGTAAAATGAAAATTTATAGATTTCAGTACTTCTTAAGACATTTATTTGTTTCAGAATGAAAACAATTTGAATTCCTAATTTTAATTTCCATTATATAAGACTTTACCAGTTTGCAAACTCAATTTAATAATTTAGGATTTAAATCAGCTTTGTGTCATATGAAAGGCCTATAAATTTTACTCATTTCCGAAAGAAAATTTATATGTTAAAGATATTAAACATGAACCTCCGAGAACGGGAAAATAATTTTATCTTGCAATTACAATAATCCTTTTTTGGCTACCGAATGTTTGGGGCGCTAATTAATATCAACTTTACGAAGTTACGATTAATTTTCTTATGTAGAGAACGTTATTAAAAGATTATGAAAGCGGGCCGGTTACGAAGTTGATAAATAACAGAATTTGTATCTTTGTACAACTATTAATCAAAAATAATTAGATTAGGAGGGCATTTTCTGAATCGAATAAACCCTTCTGGTTATATTTAAAGTTAGTTCGAGAATTTCTAAAATACGGGCAACTTGTAGAACCGGGAAAATTTGTATTATCAAGTTACCGGGACTTTAATTACTGAAGTGCCAACTAATTTTCTGATTACGTCTACTAATAAATTTTCTTAAGTTCTTCCTTACCAATTTTATAAAATTATCTTTCAATATCGGATTATGATTAATTAGTTTTCCTAAGACCATTAGCTTTGGTGCTAGTAAAGAGTACGTAAACCTTCTTACGGTTATAATGATAAAAAACTCTCATAATTTATTGTATGCTTTAAGAGTCAACATGTTGAACGCTACCGATAAGAATTTAGCTTAAGCTACGGTATTCTGCAAAATAATTGATGAAGGAAATGAAGTTTTCGCATCATTCATGTAAATGTATTAAAGTACTTCGCATCATACGTGTCCAATACGATTGTATTGTTATTTATTTACGATATACAGTGATTTATTTAGAATTAGACTAGGGATTTATGTAACTATATTGTTTTTCCCTATGTCTACTTTCAAAAGACACAATCGCTTCTGAAGAGCACCTAATTTTATGCAACCAAAACAACCTCTTAAAACAAATAATGATCTGATTGTCATAATCAATTTGAATGTTTCCTAGTCTTCACCACAAATCTTTATAAAGCTTTTTTTTATAAAAAGTTTTAGAGATAAGGTTATTAAGAGCGCTCTCCGTTGACCGTGCCTTTTGGCATGCATGTTGGAGGGTGTTGCTCAGCTTCAGAGTCCTCAGATATTCCTTTAGAGGGGAGATGATAATGCTGTCTAAGGCCGGTGCCTTCGTCAAAGGCCAATAGGGTCCTCTCGAGGTCGGAAGAGCTTTAATCAGTGGTGATTAGAGATAGTACTCCTCCGATACAGTTGCAGTGATTGTTGTAATTAGGTCGGACAATTTGACCAAAGGTTTTCCACAACAATTTTGCGGAAATGCCTCACTGATACTTCATAACCCCATTACAGACCATCTTGAGATTTCTACAGATCCCTTACTCACAGATATTTAGAGATTCGGGAAAAACAATTTTATGCAAATACAGAAAACCACACTGGACTATTCTTTCATAGTTCTTCTCTACACGATTTTTGATGGTATTGGTAAAAATGCAGTTTAGTTTATCGTTGAGCTCGGTCAACGACTAAGAGAGCCTCAGATTCAAATGGAGGTTTGGGCATGGAATGGTTTCATATAATGATAAGAAAATGCAAATGAAATGCTTTGATATGTTTTTAAACATTTTCTTCGAGAACTCTAATTAATTATGCTTAATGTATCACAAGAAGCTCGAGGAAAACCATGAAAATTCTATCGATTGATAGACACGTTGGGAAGACATTAGGATAGGGTAGCATTTGGTTATTCGCGTAAAATTAAAGATACGCGCACGTACTCAAATTTCCTTCTAAGAAGCTGAATATATTTGAAGCATGTAGCTTATGTGAGATTATTATCA